CTTTACCCAAAAAGTATTTGCTAAACTAGTGTGTACTGAATTATTCCATGGACTACGCATAGTACGAGTACACCAGGGTCTGAACTATACAATGATTAAGAGAAACTAACTAAAAAACCATGCACTGTTGAAAGATATGGATTTGTTGATCGTGAGTTGTATAGTATGCACGCTGTCCCACATGGCCTACAACGCGTGCATTCAATGTGTCTCACGCTGTCCGTCATGTGATTAAAACGGTGCTGGAGTCACTGGATTTGCTGGTCGACAGGAAACCAATTCCAACAAACCAACTCTGACTAGGAGAGAAACGGTTTGAGAGCAGTCATTTATCATGGGAGGTTCCCAAAATGTCCACGGGATCGGGAAGGTGTGCACTCTGGCCAAAAGGAAATACTTGGGAAAAAGCCAAGGACAAGTTCATCTTTTGAACTGACCTTAATTGTGATAAGCGCTATTTAGCTTAGTAGTTCGCGCTAAAGAAGTTGTCGCGCAGGAATGCTGAGTTGTGGTCAAAAATTTTAACCTGAGGCGGATTTGAATTCGCACCTCTTGCGGATATCTGCCAAACAGCTCTTTCGGTCAGACGTGTAAATGCTCTCATACCTCGCAGAAGGCGCTAGGGTTAGGGACAGCGTCGATGGTGTTACAGATAGCGCATTCTCTAGGAAGGCGTGACGAGCTGGTTCGTGTTTCGCCTGAGGTTGAGACTTTCCTCCATAACCAAGCATTCTTATAATTAATTAATCCCTCTTTCATTTATTCTTTTTTCTTCTGCCCAGCTTTGAAACAACGTTGATTTTCCACGCTGTTATTTCTTTCATTTTCAGTTTCTCTACAAAGCCATGGAGAAAGAAACTGGGCGAATGACTAGAAGTCGGACAAGGAATATGATGGATGCTACTCCACCATCGAAACTGAACAGTCGTGAACCGAAAGAGCCACGTCGTAGAACGCGAGTGATCAAAAAGAAGCCTCTTTTGGTATGCGGTCCATCACTTATGGCTGTGGTAGCAGACGCTGTGCTAACACATCCCGTGTAATTGGCTGTAAATTTTGGCGAAAAGGGGCGTTTTTATTCGGGGGCGGCGCATGCAACGGGTCTACTGTGCGCCACATACCTGCCGTAGGCGCTTTGCTGGTTCCCACTGAGAATCTCACAACAGCATAATGACAGCATCACAATAGCAGTTAGCATAATGACTCATACAATGATATATTCGAATGATATTGATAATTGAACCTCATCCTAAAGTTTTTGAGCAGGCCGCTTGCCCCGTGTGGCACTACCAGGGCGTTTCGTCATGTCTCATATAAGTATGCATAGGTTTAAATTTTCTGAACGAAATCTGAAGCAACTCTCAACACTGCGGCTCCTTCAATCACGCACAACCACGGACCAGCTGTGCTGCTGAGTAGTAATTCCTACCATAATTTTTAAGGACAACGATACTGATGACGATCTCGCTGAATCTGCACTGAGTCCACTGATCAAGAAGAAGCCACTGCAGGTTACCTAGTCCATTAATACTGCTTTTAAACATTGAACCTGAACATCAATTATAGGAGGACGATTCTAAAGATCTTCTCGAAACTACAGGCAATGACACTGCAGGTGTGTCGCTTCATATTTTTTGGCTATAGTGGAATGTAAAAGTGAGGGGACAAATTTCCTTCAAAATCTTTCCTTTATAGGATAACGGTTCTGATGATCAGACTCTTGCTGATATTTTGGAAAAGAGCAAAATTGACTCACGCCGAAAGCGAGGTAGACCGCGTAAGATAAGTGAGCAGAAATCTACTCCAAAAACTAGTCACTTCTGATCGTCACCGAAGATTCGTTTAAGTAGATTCGTTTTTTATTTCTCGAAAACGCATTTTGTATTGCTACCGGGCACGCGGTCCAGCTGCTGTTACTTGTAGGAAGTTGGAAGTGGAATCATACTCTTCGCATGAAAGGCCAATACATGTCCTAAAAGTCCTCAACAGCAGGACACATGGTGCCGCTAGGAGAATATTCACAAAATACGATGCCTCTCCCCATTCGACCTACCATCTTACTGCCTTTTTTACCACTCATCCCAGTTTCCACGAATTCTTGAAATCCCCGCCCCCCCCACCCTCCACCCCAAAACTCGATGGACGAGAGCGGAAGGGGTTGTCACTAACAATGTCATCTATCGAAAATAGTACTTTATACAACTTTAAGTGCCCCGCCAACTACGGGATGAGAGGCGTTTATAGCACAAAATAGCGATACGTCAACAACCGAAAAATTCTCAAAACCCCTAGAGCGACCGCCTTTCAGAGTAACGAGCAAATTTGACCCCCCCCCCCTTTTTTTCGCTCCAGTGGGAATGTTGCAGCGATGTTGATTATGCGCGTGGAACAGGAACAACCAAGTATTGAAAAATTTCTCACAGGCGAAATACGACCCTCACCCCCTCCAGCAAGCAAGCACTACCCCCTCCCCCACCACCTCGCGGAATTCCGCAGCGTACATACGACTGATTGACATTGATACATGCAGGTTCTCCTGTCAGAGCATATTGGAAAAGAGGGGCCTTATTTGTGTTGTAATGTGTCGATTTACACCACATCTAAGTATTACAGATGGCTGCGGACCAGCGCTACATCTGCACCTTTACAAGTTTTTTTTTGTTTTTAACACGAGCAACATGCTGCTTCAGATCAGAGGAGACTTTGAAGTGGAAGGCTTTGAAAAACCTCGCAGAGGCCGGCCTAGAAAAATCAGTTATAGTGGTGTTTCCTGTTCAGATGTGAGTCTTCCTTGCTTAATTGAATCAATCACTCCAGAGTTCACAGAGCCACATGTACTGTTTTGCTTCCAGGATTCAAAAGGTACCTACCAAAATGGCGCCAGTTTTGTGGAAATCCTCGAAATTGATACAGCAAGTGAACGTGTCGACACTTCGCTCGTAAGTCAAGCCAACATATAGCAAATGGATTTTTTAACTTGATTTTTTTCTGAAAATCGTATTTTTGTGCACCTCCTTAGGCCACGCAATCAGTCTCCTGCGAGGATAACGTTGTAGGTGAGCTTGGTGACTGCGAAATCCCTTGCGCACCTGACTTCGAGACCCCTGTTTGTGCTGTAAGTTTTCTTCCAGCTTATATATATTTTTGATGATATGCTATGGGTGTCTTTGTTTAGAACAGTAGCAGCGCTGAAGATCTTCGCGCCATGGTAAACGATGATATCGCATGTTCCAAATGAGTTGTCCCCTGATGTTCTAAAGGCCGTTCATTCTCAGAGTGTAGGAAACGGTTTTTTCCTTATGTTGCTTAAGAATGTTATTGAAAGCCATCAAGAAAATAATCGACTTTGTAACTGATATACACTCCTAAGACGGAACAGGCCCGCTACAAACGTAATAAATAGAGAGTTATCGAGAAATCAATTGGAAACAATCTGTCATCTGTCCGTTCGACTGTTCGCGTCTGAGATAATGACAAAGCTGTCGCTAACAAAATGTATGTGAGGAGCTTTAGCCGTGTCCGCGCTCAAGCTCAACACGCCAAGCCACCTATAACCGACATCTCGGATTTGAAGCGTAACTTCTCAAAGTTGTGAAGATTCGCTCTGGTGCAGTCTACTCCCTTCAGTCCCAGGGAATGCTACGCCCCTCAGCAGACCCTCTCCACTTTATCACGGTGTTGAGCTGCGACTGAGAAGGCTCGTAGTGATATAGGACTCACCTAGCCAATAATCTCATTCAAGCACTCTTTACGAGAGGCGGTCAGGTGGTACGGCTGGCATTAGCGCTAGAGCGCACTGGCCATGACTGCCACATCCACCCTCTGCATTGTTCTCGGTATAACTCGTCCCACCGCTCAAATTATCAGCTATGCTTTGCGAAGTCACTTTATTATAACTTGGTGTGTCGGCTTGTAAGTGCGTCGGTCTGCTTGTGAGAGCAACAGAGATAGGAGACTGTCAACACGCAGGCGAATGACTAGCCGACCTTCTGATGGCCAAATGTGGCTCAAATGTGGCTTCATCGAGATGCAAAAGGTCTATGAAACTTCGTCATGCTCTGAATTGTCCCATATTCTTCATAACGAATAGAATAGACATAAAGACTTGCATGCCTACACAAACTTAGAGGTTTTGGATAGAGTGATTCTTCAAAACTGATCAAAAATGTGAGTGGTGGGACGAGTTGTTCCGGAGCAGAAGATGCAATACAGAGACACGCTGGTGGTGAATGACCAAAGCGCCCTAGTACTAATAGTACCCTCCGAGCTGCCCATTAGTTATTTCAGCGCACACATCATATTCTTAGTTCCTAAAGTATTGTACAAATTTCAGACCCCGAGGAAGAATAACTCATCATGTGGAACGAGTAATGTTCCCAATGGCAAGCTCTCAGCGTGCGCCATAGTGAGAGCAAAAGGCAGCGAAATCTGAGGCTGATACTCCTTTGAAGAAGTCCTCGTCAGCCCCGTCGCTCTCTTCCAAAGTAATACTCATTTTTATTTACACTCGCCTAGCAGAGGGCACTTATTTTGCATAAGTTTAGATGAAAGTTGCTGCTTTTAAATTCTGGAGAGAACTTAGGCTGGTGCAGGTTTTCGTTCAGGTAGCGAGCACATTCGAGGAGATGCCATCGCCTTCTTGTTCTCTATCCAGCCCTCTTACTCCGGTCAGAACTTTTTTATACCCATCCTGAAAGTGTTACGAAAAACAGTTCTAATCTCTTAACAGTTGAACAAATGTACATTTTCGTTCGTTGCAAATGAAAGGGTGTGTCAGGCGTGTCGAGATAGGAGCGCGCCAAACTCGTTTTCCATCCAGGCGACAGCAGTTGGAAGCGGTTCTTGAAAGCAATGACACGAATAGCCATTGAGCTGGGAGGGTAAGAGCGACCCCGGTAGCGCAATAGGGAACGCAACCGCACGGAAGGTGGAAAATGCGGGTTCGAATCTCGCCCGTATTCTGACTTTTGCACACAACTCAGCACTCTTGTGATAACTTTCGGATCGCGCACTGCAATTGGCGGCGTCAAAGAGCCAATATTCACATGATGAATTCAAATGATAACAGACTGGTACAAACGATATGGCACAGTCTTGTCCTTTGTTCGGGTAACAAGTGTCCGAAAACGGGTTTGGTATTGTGCTAGACCCCTTCCCACTTGACACGCCCGTTCATCCGCAGCGAAAAATATTACAAGATGTGCCAACTTACTGGGGGTTTACTATTTTAGAGAAACACTGCTGATGAACATAGTCCACCCACGTCCTCTACGAAAAAGCGGGATAAGGTCTCTCTGAAGAAGCAACAGATCCTTAATGATTTGAAAGCGCAAAAACGTAGGCAATCGAAGGTTAGTTAGAGGTTATTATTGGTCATTGCAAGGTGAGATATTTTTCGCCTTCGGAGTCCGATAAAGTTTTCTTGAACGTTCTTTTCCAGAAAGATTTGCTAAGTGTCCATCCGACTTTAGTTTTTCATGGTTTGAGCGTTTCAGCGTTCACCTCCATCAGAAAGCGTCAGCGCGTCTTCTTCAGTCGTAGACATCGTAGAATTGGCCCTTAGCAAACAGCAGGAGATTGAAAATGCTTATTCAATTTCTCGCTCCAAAGTAGAGTTTATTGATAACAGTTCTGAATCTTTTCAGCGGCGGCAGTTCTACCAATTGAACCTATTTCAGCCACAACTTCAGCCGCAGCGTGTACGTACCACAAAGAGGAATGCAGCATCCAAAGAAAGTCTGTCGATATTTTCGTGAAAAAAGGAATTCTTCGCTTTCGTTACTACGTTTCAGATGTGGATACACCTTCCAATACATCGCCTGTAACTCAAAGCGCTGAATTAGAAGAACAACGGATCCAGCGGATGATTAACTCTAAAATTGTAGGCATTGATTCTTCCCAAAACAATATGAGGCGTCGTGACTATGTGCGGTCCAACTGAGCGGGTGTTAGAACTAGAACTTTCGACGTGCTGCAGCACTCTCCTCACTCTCTGTGGGGTCGCGAAAATGGGACGGTCTCCTTAGCTTTGGGGTTTGCACACTCGCACAAGGAAAGACGACCACAAGTTTCTCGAGCGCGAGGTATGCCTCAAAGCGACCCACGGCTTGCAAGGCGCATGTGTTGGGATGAGCTAGGAGTTGACCTCGGTAGGCGAAAGCGCTTGTCACGTGCGCTCAGATACCAATCCTACTTCTACAGTAAAATGTTTCGAGGTTCCAAGACGCAGCATGGTCGGCTTGTTACCAGGACCAATTTCTTACAAATCTTTCCAAGAATGTCGTGAAGAGATGTATAGAGAAGCTTTATCTATGTACACTCCTAGACGTCTCTCATTCGATCCAGAAGTAAGAGAAAGCGCTTGAATCAGTTGTGTACAAGACTTTAGCGGTACATTTGTTCTTATAGAGAAATTTTTCAAGGAAATCATAACTTCGGTGAGAACTGGTGACCTTAAAAGGTTCCGAAGAGCAACTGAACATTTTTGTGCTTTGAATGACCGAACTGACTATGGTGGCATGATTTACTCGGTGATTTCCAAGTGGCGAGATGACAATGGAGGAACGTTGATTCATGTGGTAAATTATTAGTTTATGAGGTTAGGCTGCCTTCATACTTTGCGGCAGCGTCCACCAGCGTTTCGATCTTCCCTCA